TGAATCCTTGCCCACCTGGCCTGCGAGGCCTGCTCCCGGGTCAGGGCTTCTGCCTGTGCATCCTCGGGACTGCTGGCCGTTCTGTCCCCTCAGACGTCTCTGCCAGGGACACCCACGTCTGCGTGGGCCTCACTTATCCCCCCGGGGTGGGGGGTCCTCCCACATTAGGGTGCAGACCACTTGGGCTGCAGTTTCCAGAGTGCACTTCAGGGTCTGAAATGAGGCTTTGAGTTTAGAGGAGGTACTGTCGTCCCCCACATCACCAGTTTGGTGGAGGGAGGCATACAGAAAGCTGACCTAGGGGGCAGAGTCCCTGGCTGTCGGTCTTGGTCCTGAAACAAGCCGTGACATCCAGGTGGGGGCTGGAATGGCGTGAACATGGTGTTTCGCGGGATGGCCCTAAGAATCCAGACTCAGCACTTAACAGACTTGGTGACGTTATGTCACTAAGCCTTAGTCCCCTTGTCTGTGAAAGGGAAGTCACCTCAGCACCACAGGAGAGAAGATACAGAAGGCCCCCAGTAAGAGGCTGTATTAACAATGAGGACAGCGGGCCTTGCATGGGAGGCTGGTAGTGTTTGTACACAGTAGACACCAAGGGCCCAGTCCTGGAGGTCGAGCTCGGGTGTCGCTGTGCTCTGTCGAGTGCGAGGCACGTCAGGTGGTGCCCCTGGCAGAGGGAGCTTGATAAACTCGGTGCCCTGCCTCTTTCCCCTCACGGGATTCAGGTGTCCATTAGCCAGAGCTCCCTCTTCTGTCGGCCTAGCCACACCCAGCAGCCAGGCAGGAAAGGGGGTGCTGCTCGTGGTTCTGGCTCTGGCAAGTGTGTGCCCACTGTGCGGACCTGAGCTTACTCCCTCCCCGACTGCCCCCCGGCCCCAAGAGCTGAAGCAGATCTGGCTTTCACACTTGTGTACAACACGGTGTGAGGGCGGGGCTCCAGCCTGGCAGTGGGCTCAGCCATCTGGAAAATACAGAAAGGTGTGCAGAAGAAAATGCTGCCCATAATCTCAGCAGCGCCACCCCCAAGTCTTACCAGTTGTATTACAGAGATTTTCGTTTCGACTTGTACTTACCTACATAATTTACGTTGTTGAGATCATACTCAATGTATAACTTATATAATTTACCCAGAGTGAAAATCAGTGGAACTCTTGAAGCCTTTCATAAATGCTTGACTATGTTTAGAGCCCACTCACGTTTGCCACTTTCTGTGACTTTGCAACTCATAGACTTCTGACACTCAGTTTCCTCATTAAAGAAAAAAGAGGCAAGTGGGGGGCAGGAGTCAGACAGCCGTTCTGCCATCCCCACCACCCACTCCCCCCGGACGCCAGGACCCCGGCGCGTGTGCTTCCGGGCAGACACCCAGCCCGCCTGCCCGAGCGCTCCCTGACAGTGGGCGGCCACCGCAGTTGACCCCTGAACAACGTGGGTATGGGGTGTTTTCTGATAAGTGCAGGATAGCACTTAAATGTACTTTTTCTTCCTTATGATTTTCTTCACATTTTGTTCTCTCTGGCTTACTGTAAAAACACAGTATGTGTAATACAGTGTCCAGAATACGTGTTTGCTGACTGCTCACGTGATCTGTCAGGCTTCTGGTCAACAGGAGGCTATTAGTAGTTAAGGTTTTGGGGAGTCAGGAGCTAGACACTGCGGGGGTGGGGGTGACACTTCGAACTTCCAGGTGGTCAGGGGTCAGCTATATTTGAAACACGAGTGAAAGAAAAAAGGGAAAACAGTTTAGATGTCTTACCCAGGTCATTCTTTCTCAGAAGAAATTGTTCTGAACAAATTTCTTTTTTCCAAATGCTATAGCATTGTCCTTCGAAGTTTCTAACATTTAGAATTTTTATAACCACCTAAACTTTTATTCATTTCAGATTGGCCACATTGACGGAGATCCCAGTCGCAAAGGAGCATTTCCTGTATCATTTGTGCACTTTATTGCTGACTGAATTGCTACTGAACAAAAACACTTCTTTTTAACAGTTACGTTCCTATTTGTTTTTGGTACCAAAACTCTTGCCAGATGACCAGTTTCATGAAATGTATTGTCCGGTAGCCCACTTTCTCTAACTCTGCTCTTCTGTTTTACAAACTCAAAGGCAACTTGTATGTATAAATGAATTGTTTTTATAATTTGTGGTTTTCATGAAATACTGCCATACTTTTATTAGGGAAAAAACAGCATTTCCTAAAAGGTGAACTGAAAAGTTATTTTAACTCTACGTAATCAAGGTCGTCAATCTATAGAATTAGCTGAACCTAAAAGTATTTGAGTATTAGAAAGAAATTCTTCCAGCCTTTCCTTGGCCTGCTTCTAGAGTCGGTGACCCTTTAGTGCAGCTTTTTAGGAAGTTGGTAAACTTGCTTTAGAAGTAGTCCAGCCCTGGACTTTCTAGGTAAAAGGCTATCAGTTCACCTTTAAAGACATTTTTTTTTTTTAAAGATACATTTAAAGATTTCCTTTAGAATCCACCCAAGGTTTAGTTAAAGCAACTTGGAAATTTACACCTTAGCATTGTACTTTCCAGCCCTAATTTGTGAGGTTACAACTCACTGTATTCTGCATGCGCGTGTAGCCTGTTGTGAACAATCCTACCTAGCGAAACTACCCATGGTTTATTACGGCGTATGGTAATAGCAGCTAATTCAGTTCCACGTTCTCTAAACCTGCATTTCCTGAATTTGGTTAAAAACTAAGGATGATGGATTGCAAAAACAGTTCTTTAAACTAGTTTATATGCTTTAGGTGTTTCGGAATTCGCCTTCTCGACCCTCCTCGGTCACGCAGCTAGAGCACTGTGGTGCCACTGTTAACACTTGCTGTTTCCTGAGTGTACCACTGCCTTCCCTCTCCAGCTCCCGGGAATGTTTACTCAACTTAGTGTCTTGTACTTATATACTATACCAACAGGAATGGTAGTTATACTGTCTTGAACTCGAAGCTGTCCATTTGTTTGTAATCAAGAACATATCAGAAATCTGTAGGTCCCAGGTAATAAAATACTCCCGAGCAGACATCCCCCTTTCACAACCGAAGTCCATCACCTCATTCTTAAACTGAAGCTCCTGGGGGTCGGGGGGTTAGGTTGTGTGTGATAAAATCAGAATTCATTAGTTTCACAAACTTGACTGTCATACCTCTATTTAGTAATTGTGAGCATAAGATTCATAATAGGAATATTGGACATTTTGGCACTCTTTGAGAATAAATAGGCCTATAATGCCCACTCGGATTTTTACCAGAAGTGAAGAGATAAGTGTAGGTCTGGGCTTGGAAAGCGAGGCAGTGATCCTTTCATCCATGGTGCCGATGGTACATTTGATTGGAGCAGCCCATCTTTATTAGGCAAGACTCTTCTAAGTGCAGAGCCTTTTTTTTTTTTTTTTTTATTGCATTGTACTTTTTGTTGCTATTATAAAGGAAAACAGAACAAACTGGAATGTTTTATGATGTTGTGTGGCAGTTGCTTTTTAAAGCCTTTCTAAGTTCTGGGTAAAAATGTGTTAGATCTGTAATTAAAGGTTTTTTTTTTTTTTAAAGCACTACATCTATTTTCACTAATTGTTAATTTCTGTTGTTTGAACCCTTCGTTTAGTTAATTCCCTCATAGATTTAAGAAAGTAAACAGATATACTTTGCACAGTGCACTTCTTATGTATATTTTAGCAAAGTCCTCTTGCATCTGTGTCTTATAATCAGCCTTTTGACTACTTGGTGCCAGATATCTAAGGAATTAAAGTTGAGTCTCACCAACACTTAAACACTAGTCCCAAACTAATCTATCAGGTTCACTGGTACATAAATATCTTGGAAATATTTTTTCCAGCTGACAGTTTGGTGGTGCTATTGTGCAGTAATTAATATTACTCTCGCCAGAGGAGAAATTACATTGACTTCCCTGCTAACATCCTTTCCTAGTTATTTGCTCTTTGCAAATTAAAAAACAACTGAGAGGAAGGAAAACATTGTAGATAACTATTTATATTTAAAGTTTACGTTTCATGAACTTAGCTGCAGGATTCTGGCATTTTGCATATGCCACTTTCCATCAGATCTGACTTCTAGAGATGAGGACTCCAACATGTGCACAGACTCCTAGGTCCTGTGTGATCTGCTGCAGGGTGGAGAGCATAAATATGCAGCTTGGAATGCTGTTTGAGATGTATGATACTCGATCCATTCACTTGATTACTTCGATCTAGTTGCAGCGCAACTGTATATATTGTATAACCTAAATCAATTCTTATTTTCGTTGTCCTTAATGCAGTGATTTATAATTAGAGCATGTTCAGTAAGTTGACTCTTCCTGTTAACTAGTCATTTGACTGGAAAAAAATAAAATACTTTTAAACAGACAGTGTTATTTGTAATGTTTTTAATCCTTTAAATACTGCGTATTAAAATGGTCCTTTAGAAAAACCCACTCACCCACTGTGCGTGAGATTCTTTCGACACTATTTAACATGCGCGGTGATCTTTCTTCTCTGAACTCTGAGGTAAATACTTTGGTTTGCTAGCATGCCATCCTGACATACACTTTTTAAAGTCTTACTTTTTGCGACCTGAGTTGGCAGTGTTGCTGTTCCAGACCAGTGTGACCAGAGCTCCCAGCTGGCGGGCCCATGTGCTGGCAACAGACAGCATTCGTCCTCCTCAGAAAGCCCTCTGTGCTCACCTACTCACTGCGTGCACGTCTGTGACACTTAGGTGTTAATGCTCATTTGTGTTTAAAAGGGGCGGGGGGGGGGGGCGCCTGGGTGGCTCAGTTGGTTACGTGTCTGCCTTGGCTCAGGTCATGATCCCAGGGTCCTGGGATCGAGTCCCGCGTCAGGCTCCCCACTCAGTGGGGAGTCTGCTTCTCCCTCTCCCTCCCCCACCTCCCACTCCTGCTCACTCTCTCTCAAATAAATCTAAAAAAATAAAAGTGACAGATGACATCGGTTTCTTTTTTAGTCCCAGAAAGTAAACAACCTCATTGAGACTTAACTCACTGTAATAAAACACATTTTAATAGAAAAGCAAACGATCACTATTTTATACACTGCATTTCTCCAGAAAATCTCGAGCAGGAGATCACTTTCTATTTCCAGAGTAATTCAACACTGCAGATTGAAAACCATTGCCCTTCCACACGAAGTCAGCTTCCGCTAGATTGCAGAATTCAAGCTTTCTCAGATGTTAATACAGAGTCAAAAGCGGTGGATAAAACTTTGCAGATGGCTTGTGCCTGTTCCTATGGTTAAGTGAAAAACATACAGTAAGAGACTTCACCGACCTCTTCCCGAATTAGTGTGGCCAGCAAAGGTATAAATGTGACCCTCTTAACACCTCCCCTACACCTGCACACCCAACAGCTTTGGGAAGCCCCGGACACCATGTCCCCGGGCCGCCTCCTGCATTCCCTCTGGGAGAAGCACCTGCGGATGTGTAGGAACTAGGCCTTTGGGAAGGACGCCAATGCGTCAGTGGGGTGATGGCTACAGAACAGGACGGGCTTCCGCCCCGGCCCCGCGTCTGCCCTGCCCTCGAGATGCCCGCACAGGTGAGTGCTCATCCCGGCCCAACTGACCGCCCACAGCAGGTCCTGGCAGCTGGCTGACCGCCAGGCCTGACGGTCACCCGCGCTCTGCCGGGCGTCAGATGCCCTGTGGGTGGCATCTCGGCCTCCCAGAAGATTGGCCATCTCCTCTGGCTTTACCGCCTTGCCCGGTGAATGAGACTAAGCAAGGCAACGTGAAACCTCACCAGGCTGTTGCACTGATAGACCCAGAGGCTGTACCCCTCGTTGCTTGCGTCGGTGGTCTTCAGGGCCAGTAGGCTTTTTCCGGCCCCCAGACCGTCGTCGTAACACACCATGCGGATGATTAAATACAGAGCGTGCCGGTGTAAGACATCCTGCAGAAGTCAGAAGAAAGAAAGATCGGGACTCTTGACATACTGACCTTTTCTGTGCAGAATTTACTGTGAGGCTTTAAACAGAGCATATCTATGCATCTGGCAGAAAACAGTTGTAGAGGTGCTTTTCCCCCTAAGGGACATCCCAGAATGCTTGGTTATGGGGCCACTTGCCTTCAGGGTTATCCCCTTCCTACTAAAAATACCAGAAAAACAGGAGTAAGCCCTGAGTTCACGTCCAGCGTCCACGCTGACAACTGCTGAGCTGGCGCAGGGTCCTAAGCTGAAACATTAGGGGCCGGCAGTGGGGGGTGTTGGCCAGGGCCCCACCATCCAGGAGAAGCAAAAGGAGGCCTCTCTTCATTCACCCTAAGAAATCGGTCATTTTTTAGGACCAGCTGCCAGGAATGTTTACCAAGCAACAGTTCTGCAAACGAGCAGAGAGAACAAGTGGGCCCTTAGCAGCCTGACAAGTACCTGAAACCCACTTTTTCCCTAATAAATTCTCTTACTTACATACTGATCTGATGTTGATACTTTTATACCATACTTGGAAACTCCCATAATGAATTCTTCCTCCAGAGGAACGAAAGGCAACTTCCCATCTTGCTTTAAAGTAAAAATAAATCACATGAGCTACGTTAAAAAGTACGTTACATTCCTTAAATATGATTAGTCAAGTTTAATATCTGGCCATCACAAATCCAAACCCTTTCAAGAACGCAGGGTATGCAACAGCCCAGCAAAAATTGTTCCTCAAAGAGAGAGAAGGAAAATTGTTGCCAGGGTTTGGTTTGGTTTGGTTTGGTTTGGTTTTCATGTCCACAGACCTGAGCAAAATTCACATCCATTTGTCTTGATGTTTTCCCTAATTGCAAACGGAGATCCCGCTCACAGATCCCAGTGAGGCTTAAATATTTACATTAGAAAAATAAAGATATTTAGATTTTAAAATACTCAAAGCTTATGCCGATGTCAGCACAGGAAACCATCAGGAAACAGAGCTGCAGGAACCCCTCTTGAAAGCCGTTTTACATCCTACCCAGATGGTAGGTATGTCTGGTTGCCCCCACATCCCGGGGCTGTGAGCTTGACGCGCGGTTACTTGGAAACAAAACAGCAGATGATAGTGATGGCTTCCCTAGCAGATTACCCTGTTTCATTCCCCTAAGTCAGAATACTGCCTAACTTGTCTAGTGCCACAATAAAACAGAGAGTGGGCAATCAGTAGATGTCCCGTACTGTGAATGTCTGTATGGAACCATTTGCCTACATTAAAGAAATTCTGGTAAAGAAGCTATGTCTGCATGCCTTGATTCTTGGGTCCTCCTATGGCTACAGTAACCTCTTCTAGTGATTTCTCACAGCAGGGTTCAAGCGTTCCAAGAATCAAAAGATGAGCTAATGCTAATGCTATTGTCAGTAAGAGAACTTTGACAAGCCCGAAGACTACGGCGCTCTGAGAAACTCAGCAGTCGTTAACAGAATGACAATGATCCTAGTGCACTTCCCGGGGGGGAAACATTAGCAATCTTCTCAGTGTAATACTTTGGTGAGCTGTTGCTTGCGCTCGTTGGAATGACAGATGCCAAGCCAAACGCTGGGATATTAAGTCCAGACTACCCAGAGGTCTCTGTGAAACGCACATTCGACTGGCTGATGCCCCTCAGACAGAAAAGAATTCCTGTGCTTTATGAGGGCATGAAGCATTGTATTTAGTGATCCCATTCTCCACGATTCACCAGACCAAATAGTCTTAAGAGTAACCAGCGCTCTAAGAACTGACAAGGGAATCTTTCCATTGTGCTAATAACCCTTTGTTAATAAACACAAAGACCTGCGATGCCATTTTCTGGAAATTCAGGAAGCAACTTACTGTCTTTAGCTCATCCACTCCCACACTAGCAAGGGTGCAGATCTTACAGAATTGGATGCACTGACCTTACACCTTTGCTCTGTCTTTGCTTTCATTCTTAATTTTCCTTCATGATCATTTCTTTTCTCTTTAATCTTCTTGACTGGGGTATGTTTTTGAAGCCCATCTCACTTGAATTCTTGTTGCTAACCGGGTGTGAGTGCATTGATAGGTCAACACCACTAGGAGGCTGATTATTGAAGGAGTTGCGACTAGTTCAACGGAGACTTGGGAAGGCCTGCCAGTCTGTTTTAAAAGACAGACCTATGGTGTATATAACCCATCACCGCACTCAGCTCCTCGTTTAAATGAGGAAGTCAGTCAGCTCCCAAAACAGTAAAAAGTGCTGTTTTTGAAGGAAAGAACTCTCTGTTCCCATGGGACTCTGTCTCTAGGTACCTTGTACCACCTATGATCACAGTGCTCGACAAATATTTTAACAGTGATAAGAGCAGAACATCATTCTCCAAAGCCATGAATTTATTTTCTAGAATGTTCTAAAATTTTTTAAAAAATTGTTTTTTTACCTGGGCAACATCTATATAATTTATCAGGTCTAGGGGCCCTTCGAGACTTTTTCCTTCAGAGAATTTCAGTTTCTCAATGGCACCAACATATTTTATTCGAAATTCTGCACAGGTATCTGAATTGTTGTTGCTTTGTCCTAAAGGTGAAAGAAAAATTTTAACAGTAAGACTTCAAAAGAAATATCTGCATTACAGCGTGTCCTCAATCCCTTCACAAATAAAAAACAAACTGCCATCAGAACTTAACCTTTAATGAAAATAAAAAAAATTTTAGTGCAAGATTACTTGAAGTAATAGGAAAGAACTTGGAATTTAACCTCTTCCTCCGTGACTCAATATCCTAAATGTATAAAAGTCTCAATAAGAATAAATTAAAACAGGAGAAAAATAAAATGCTGACTAGGTAACAATTGAGTACCTTCCTGATACATTAAATATTTAAGCTTTTTTTGGTTTCTTCTCCCTCTTTACCACGTTCACTGTTGTTTTCCTGATTCAGCAAATCTGGTCTACCTCTCCCAGTCAAAAAAAACAAATTTTTTTTTCCCTGCAGATGGAATAATGCCAGACAGGAAGTCCCTTCACATGAACAGATGTTAGGTTACATGACACGTGGCAACAGGCTGAAGAACCATGTGCTGTGAAATCTAGCCAGGGCCAACATGGCCGCAATGCGTTGCATTACCTCCCACGTTAAGGTGATACTATGTGGTTACTTCTAGGTTATGCTTATGTAAAAAAAAAATGCCCACATTTTGAGTATTTTTAAGGCATCTGGAAGCAAAAATAATAGACTTTATGCTACTATCTTCTCTTGTACATGATATGGCTCTTCATCCCACCCCTCCGTAGTCCCCACTTTTTACAGACTGACTAGTCTATGATCCTGAAAGGATCTGCCTTCGGCTCGGGTCCTGATCCCGGGGTCCTGGGTTCGAGCCCCGCGTCGGGCTCCCTGCTCCGCGGGAAGCCTGCTTCTCCCTCCCCCACTCCCCCTGCTTGTGTTCCCTCTCTCGCTGTGTCTCTCTGTGTCAAATAAATAAGTAAAATCTTAAAAAAAAAAGGAACGTATTGTGCTGCTCTGGTAAAACTATATGAACACCAGTTAAGAGCCGTACTAAACGGTCCAAACCTTCTCCGTACCTGAGCTTTTGGTCGAATCTGTATCGAGGCTGGCCACAGTGCTGGATCGTGAAAGCCCCCCAAGGCTAGAATCTACAGACTGAAAAACAACAAACAAACAAAAAGGTAAACAGAATTAGACACACTGTCTTCTCTCAAATTCTCTACCAAACATTCAAATTATTTATTACAGCTGAATCAACATAGACAAAAGCAGGTCAATTACTCAAGCAGATGGACTATGACAGATTTTTCTAAAGGCGAATTCTACAGCGAACTTCAAAAAACCAGGTAGTCCCACCTGCCCTTCCCAGAACACATCAGATAACTGTGGTGTGGACATTCCCAGTATGAACCAAAACTACTACCTCTGCCTCCTTGTAAGACACCTGGTATTTAGGCTGTGTGTGAAAATCTACACTTTGCTTTCACATGATTTCCACGGAACCCAAAAAGAACCCTGTGCCGAAAGCCAGCAGGGAGTATGATTCTATGTAATAACATGAGCAAAGATAGCCAGCGGGGTGAAGTGACTTACCCAAGGTTACATCAAGGAACTAGCCCAGCCCTCCGATCAAGGTCCCCTCCTCCCCGTCCCCCTGCCTCTGCCATTAGTCCGACTAGTACCTGGCCTGCTCGGTCATGCGCGGGCCGACGGGCAGACCAGAGTGCAATTATCAGTGTGAATTGCAAAGGAAAACCAACAAAATTGTTAAGCAAAACACGAAGAAACATACATGTTAGTGTAGATTCTATAGAATTGTGCTCTGGATATGCTTCATTTCTTTAGAAATAATATTCTGTGAAAACTTTTGATTCAAAAAAATGAGTCACTTCTTTGCACCTCAAATCAAAATTAGATTTTAAAAGAGCGATATACTCAAATTTTTTCAATGTTCAAGAAGTGAATCAAGGTGAATGCAAAAACGTATCAGGTCTGATAAATATGTTTTTTCCCTTTTTCAGTAATTGCTCTTCTTGGAGTAAAGTGTAAAATGAGAACAGAGCTGTGTGCACAGAGACGTTCCCCATAACGTTACGTGGGGGACTGAACACCAGAAATACTGTACAAACTCAGCGGGTGGGGGGGGGATTGGAATTAAGACGCTGTTATAAACCGAGACTGACTTCTGGCATGAGCACCACCCCCGAAGTGAGTAACAGAGCGAGCTTTTGTGCTCCAAACTACTCCCCCGCACTGGAAAGCACCAGTCCCCATTGAACCTCTCTCTGCACGAGAACAGGAAGGGAGAAACTGGTCTACTTTTCCCATGTCCAGAAGAGACAACAAGGAGAGCTTACATCAACCTAAAACACACACCCAGCAGTCAAAACTTGGCTCAGAGACCACACGGAGGTCCCCACCATCTTCGGGGTAAGGCCCTCACTCGCAGGTGGCCCCCTTCTGCCCTCTCCAGCCCCACCGGCCACATCAGAGAACCCACGGCTTGGAGCTAACATCTCAAGCCATCAGCAAGTTCCCTTAGGAACCTGAAAATCTCCTCCGCCAGCAGCGAGCCATCAAGTCTCCCTTTATCCTTTCTCTGGCCCAGAAAACAAGAAGCAGGCCTGACCACTTTCCCAGGCTGAGGTCCCCACACCAGGGCTGCAAAGCTAACAGCAAGGAGGTTCTTGACTAGCTTCAGTTCAAAAACCTTCAAGAAAACTCAGTCTTGCCACTCTAAGGCAGGATTCCTAAAACGTCCGATTTCCGTGCTTCAGGCTAGGAGCATCTCAGCTCAGTGAAAATCCCGAGGGGCAGTAACGTGTGTCTTTATTCACTGAGGTGTGGCCACCGTCGCTTGGGGTGGTGCCCACGGGCCAGCCCGGTCCATCCCCCCGGAGGAGGGCACCCCCTCTGCACTGTGCCACGGGCTCGTCCCCTGCCTCACGGCATCCTGGCACTGCGTGCGCTCATCTTTGAAAAGAGAGAGCTCACAGGGTGTTGACTGTGAGAACCACGGCCTCGGTCCAGGGATGAGGACTCGGGCCTCAACTGTCCCTTCGCAGTCATATACCCGACTTCTCTACAGTCCTAAATATGGCATTTGCGTCACGACCCAACTCACTCACTATTAAGTAAGCAGACTTCCAGTTATGCACACACACCCCACACCCCGGAATTCAAGAGCTCCGGCCCCTGGATGGGCCTGCAATTTTGATCGTGTAAAACATTTAAAAATCAGTGTTTCAGCGAGACCATTCATACGTCCTGTGCCATCCAGGTTCGTGAACTGAATCATCTCAGGAACTCTCTAGAACAAAAGAAAATTAAATCAAGCACAGGATGTGTCTCGAGTGCCAAAAATAAATGTCAAAACACACCTAGTTTGAGGACTATCAGCAGCTGTGCTGTGGTTAGGATGCTCTGTGTGGAATCAGGAGAAATAAAATGCTCACTGCTTTGCCATTCTGGGCCTATTCCCAGCCCCCCTACCTTGCTCTTCGTACTGATTTCACTACTTTGGGAACTGCTACTACTGTGTCGCTTTTTGCCTTTCCGGAACATTTTTCACCATAGCTTGATCCAAAGGAGCTCCCCTAGGAGAACAACTGGTGGTTAGTTAGAGCAAGAAAACCACCTTGAAATCACTTTATGCACAACAGGAGTAAAAATCATCAATTCCTTCCCCGTCCGCGGCCTAGTACTCCTACTGGAAACCGAAATCTTTTCCTTTGGCCACCAAATTTGGATACTATTGCTTCATTCTTTTTTTCTTTTTAAATTTGAAAAAAATAACCCAATGACCCAAAAGGACAGAAACCTTCCGTCATTCCTGGGGGTGTGAAAAGCGTTGTTCTGAGAAGTAACAGACACACGTCATCTACTTCTCAAAATACTCAAGTGCCTCACTTCTCTTTAATCAATTCAAGACAGTAGTAAAATAGGTGACATACTAGCTTACCAACCGAGATCCTGAGATTCCATGGCTATCTTGGGTTGACATTCTGTAAATGGCAGGGCTTAGAACAGAAGACATAGCTACCTCTCCGAAATGGGCATTTTTCTCAATGTCTTGAGCTACCTTTAAGTAAAAGTTGACACAAAAACATTCCCAGGCACCAGCCCTCCCCTCCTCACTCCGTAAGGCCAGGGAAGGAGGTGACCTGAAGTTTTTCAGAGTCAGTCTTATATGCATCTTTTTTAAAGTAATAATTAATGCCTGGGAAACAAAATTTATCCTTGCCCATTTCAAAGGAGCACATCTATTATTATACTTGAAAAAGTATTAACTAACCCGCATAACAGTTTATAGTTCAAATACTTCCAAAGACATTGTGTCACTTTTATCCTGACAACAACCTGGTGACACATTCAATTGCTCCGGATGTTTTTTAAGGGTATCCCTCGTCTGTGCTGCATATTCTGCTGGGGAATCCAGGCCCCCAGACTCAGAGGGCTTACAGAAGGTAGGTTATAATCTGCGTTTTATAGATGAGGGAACTATGACCCATCTTTCAGGAGGCTTTATGAGTAAGATAACAACAATTTTTTACCAAATATTGGCTCCTACAGAGGGAACAAGGGAATCTGCTTACGGTAGAAGGAATACTACTGCATTGTCTTCAAAGGTCCCATAGACGACAGTGTGCAAGGAGAGCTTCCTCTCATTCTGACATGGTCAATTCTTTTCAGAAAAATGAGGTACCTGATGAAGGAAAAAGAATGAGTCAATCAAGGGGAGGTCACTGAATGTCCTATGAGAAGTTTCTCCCACTCTATTTGGAGACCCCGTTCTCAGTCCACTCACCAGCATCTGACCACAGGCGGCTTGCCCAAGACTGACCCTCAAGCCCAAGCTTTTTCATTAGCCCCATCATATAACTTATTTCCATGTTTTTGCGTGATTTATGAAGTAGCAAGAAAATCTGATTTGTTCACTCGTTCCTGAGTAGCCAGTGAGCACCTTTTAGGTGCTGGGGATGTATCAGTGAATGAGACAGATAATGCCCCTGACCTGACCTCAAGGAGCCCACTCTCAGAGGGATGAGACAGACCGACAAGAAAAGCAAACACATTGTTAGAAACAACTGATATGAGGGAAACAAAAGCAAGTCCAGGATAAGCAAGTTCAGGATTTGCAACTGATGGCAGGAAGGGTGAGCATTTTAGGCAGAAAAAGATGCTCTGAGGAAGTGAACAGTGAGGAGACCTGAAGAAGGAAGGGACGGCAGAGGAAAAGCATTCTGGCAGAGAGTTGGGCAAGTGCAAAGGTCCTGAGGGCACACCCCAGCTGCAAGGAATAGCGAGAGGCCAATGTGGCTTTCACCCAAGCAGGAAGGAGGGAGAGGGGCAGAGCCACAGGAGGGAAAGATCCACAGGAGGCCTTGCAAACCCCAACAAAAGTCTGGGGTTCATTTTGGGTTTAAAAGAAAGACTTGAGGGGCTATTAAAAAGCAGTCAAGGGCTAGGATGAGACTTCTGTTTTGGAAAGATGATGGGCTGCAGGTAGAGGACTTAGCTGCATAGGATACAAGTAAAAAGAGGGAGATGAATTATCAGGCTATACTGGGAATCGTTTGCTGCCATCGATCACCTAGCATTCAAGGGATGCTTTTCAGTCAGGACGAGATGGCAAGAGAGCCTTACTCCCAGGTCTACACAAACTGGGTTAACCTAAGCAGCATAAAGTGCCATGTTAGCGATCTCTGATTCGTCAAAATATTGCTGTGTAGCATATTTAAGGGCATTATATTTTAAATATATACATAGAGAGAGAATTTACTGCAAGGGAGAGTGTATATACACACACACACACACGTTTCAATATAGGTAACAATTTTAAATATGATTTTAAAATAAAATTTGATTCTACTGCTAGTGAAATCCTGAAGCATCCCTTCAAATCCCGGGAATACTAGAATGCTTTGAAAATCACCCCATTGGTATTATCATGCCTTTGCAACTCCTAAAGACTTTCCATCACCAACCTAGGAGCTGAGGGAGGGAAAGGCATTTTATTAAAGTCTTTGAGATCTGCTGCTATTTGGATGCATGTTCTTAAGCAAATCATTCTTGTCTCTAAATTATTCATGCATGAGAATGAGACCAAAAATACTGATTGTCACTTGGATGTTCCAAACTTGTCAAATGCAAAAATGCCTGAAGCAAACCCCTTGTCTTCCCTTCCATATCTGCTCCACCTCTCTCCTCTCCCTTTCAGTAAATTCTATTATTTCTGGTAGAAACCAGGAAATCACCAACTGCGCATAGTCCTCCAGGCCCCACATCGAATAAAATACTAAGATCCACTGAATCTACCACCTGAACAGTTTTTGCTCATCCACGCCTCTAACAGGCCCATGCCATCACTAAACCTTTGCTGTATATAAATACTTTTTCATCAGCTGATCCATCAGGGTGGGTGGATGCTCAACCCATAACAATGCACAGATACACAGTTTGGCATGCCATTTAAGGAATTCACGTCCCAACGGCACTCCTTGCCGCTTTAAATCTACCGCCAAGCTCCAGCTAAAATGATTTCTTTAAAACTCAAATCTGATGCCATTAACGTGCTTAAAATCTTTCACGGGCTCACCAAAGTTAGAGACTGAAGTCAAAGCTCTCTGCCAGGACATGCAAGGTCCTGCATGGCAGGGCTCCTATCTACCTCTCCAGTCTCATCTTCCACAACCGGCTTCATACCTTATTCTCTAAGGAATGCAAAGCTTCTCCGGGTTCTCAGCATGCACTCTCCTCTGTTTCTATGCTTTGCTCTTATAATTCTGTCTGCCTGCAATGCCCTTCCACCTTTTATTCATTCAGCTAACTTTACTCACCTTTCAAGACTCAGTTCAGGCTGCTTCTTTACTAAAATAGAAAGCTTCCGTTGGACCTCCAGGTTGGGCTAAAGGACTGGTACTCCACAGCTTGAGCATGCACCCTAATCCTAGCATTAGCCTGCTTTTGCCTACTTAGAACTGTCTTACTTAGAACTATCTCACTGTGAGCTCCTCAAAGATAGGGGTGAGGTAATTCATCTGTGCACCCAATGCTGCACAGACTGGCAGAGGACATGCTTAATGAACTAAGAACCTTCTGGGAAGATGACATCCAAATAACTTCCTGTCCTGAACACCTACCAGGTGCCGCCCAGTGCTAGGTGCTACATATACCGCTAAAGACCAGCAAGCCTGCGGTGGCACAGCCCCTTTTAAATGAAGAAGCCAAAACTCCAAGGGACTTGGCCAAGGTCGCCAGGCTAATCCTATGGGTGGGGCCAAGTTCAGAACCTAGACAGACCCACGCCAAAGCTCTTTCTCGACCCCACTCTGCTTCCCAGGCATTCCACACCGTTCTGTTGTGCCTGCCACGTGCAGGTGCACAGGGTGACAGCAAACAAGACGCACTCCCCCCGGGCCTTTCTCAGTGAGGGATTGGGGGGGGGGGCGGCGGAGCGGTGCAGAAACCAACAGGAGCCAGCACAAAAAGGCAGTGCTCCTCACGCCCCACAGAGCAGAGCCTGACTCAGGAAACAGCCCCGGGGAAGCGCCCACTCCCGCCGCCGAGTCCGACGGGACCGAACCACACACGACACCTGTCGTCACAGGAGCTGCAGTCCCGCCCCAAACAGGACCCGGGCACCGGGGGCACTGCATCCTCCTGCAGGCCCGGGCCCGCTCCTCAGCTCCCGCCGCCCGCCCCTAGCCGCCTCGGGGCCTGGGTCTCCCCGGGGAGACCGCAGCCCCAGCGGCCCCACCCATCCGCCCCACAGCGGGCCTCCCCGCCGGCGCCGCCTTCGGGGCCCGCGTTCCCTGCCAGGCTCAGCCCGGGTTCGGCCAGGGCCCGGCTCTCACCTTACAGCCGCTGGCCCGCCGCCGGGGCCGCCCGTGATCGCGGTCAGACACCCACCGCCCCGGGAAGCGACGCTGGGGCAGCCACTCCAGTTCTAATTCCAGCGCCAGCTTTTCCGGTGCCCCCGGCCCCGCCCGCCGAGCCCCGCCTCCGAGACATCGCGCAGGCGCAGCCTGACCCCGTACCAGATTTCCGGACTCCGCTCGGGGAGGAATCTCGCGCCCGAGCGTCTGCGACCGGAAGTTGAGGGGAGGGGCCTAGTGTCGCGGGCGCCTGAGTGCCGGAAGTGCTTTTCGTGGATGGTGTTTTTCTACCTACCATTGGTTCCCCGTGACTCTGCTTTCCATTTAGGAAGACGTCCGCGACCTGTTCCTTTCCCGCGCTTCGCCTTCAGACTTCCGAGATGTCGGCGATTCCTGCTGAGGAGAGTGACCAGCTGCTGATCCGACCCCTGTAAGGGCCCAGCGAGAGAGGGCACGAAGCCACGGGCTGTGAGAGGCGAGGCGGGGTGACCGGATGGTTGGCCTCCTAGGTCGCTCCACTCGCCGGCAGGCCTCGGGAGCCGGTCCCTTTGGTCCGCAGTGGCCGGCCAGGCTTCTCAGGCTGAAGGGGTTTGGAGAACCGTGGATCGGACCGGGCCTGCTAGGTTGAATGGGACTTGGCTTTTTTCTTCAGTCTCAGGGGAGAGGATGTTGTTGGGGCGGGGAAAAATGTCTTTGGGCCGCGGGGCGCTGAAGAGTGGCAAGCCCTGGGGGAAGCGGTTGATGCTGATGGCGGGAGGATGAGCGGAGGACCTGGATGAGGCTGTGGCGGTGGGAAGAAGAACTAAATCTGTTTATTATTTCGACGTTTGCCAAGATGTGAAAGAGGGAATCGATTAGCTATGAGTTTTGACGTTCTGACTTCAGACCCTAGCAGAATAAGAAAGGTAGAAGGAGAGGGGAAAGAGCAGAGATGTTAAGGACAAAACTCAGCCCTTGATTGTCCATGAGCAGGTTCGTGTTTTGGTGGAGATGGCTTTGTGCCAGAGAAACACTTTACAGATCTGGAATGAGGCTTAGAGGGGGAAACAATTGTGGAGAACCCTTTGCTGTAGACTAGCAATTTGAATTCACAAACGTATCTTTAGATATAAATTAGCATCTCGTTCACTTGTGCGTTTTCAAAAGGTGGGCAGTATCGACACATCCACTCAGTAAGGACTAGTTGAGCACCTACTGGGGACATAACACAAATTTCCCACTGCCTAGTTCACACTTGCCCTCTCTTTCTGTGTTCAGCAAACACTGAGCAAGTGTCCAGCACCACACTAGCATTGGAGATGCAAATAAGACAGTGCCAAGTTAACTGAATTCACCCTTTCAGAAGGAATTGCGGTGCAAAGTGAAAAGTTCTGGAGAGACAGTTGGGAATAATAGGAGATACTTACTTTGGGGTCAGACGTGGAATTCAGTCCCTTTTCTGTCACTTGCTAGGACAGCAACTTCTCTGAACCCACTTCTTCATGTGAAAATAATATGGCCACACTTACTGTGAGGATCATAGTAGGTGCTCAGTAAATGGTATATTAGAAGTGTACATACAGATTGGCATGCACTGAGTTCTGGGGCAGTTATGGAAAAGATTTCTAACAAGTTGAGAAGAGAAGGCTAGTTCCTGCGTCCTGGAAAATATGGCGCATGACCTGAGCCTTAAAGAATAAGTAGGAATTAAAGACAGGTCAAATGCAGGGCAAGGATGTTCCAGGCAGGGGAAGTGGCACATGTGAAAATGAGAGTGGTCACGGTTTGTGGCCAGTTTCCTCAGGTCTGTGGCTGAAAGATTAGCAGATGAGGAGGTGGGAAAGGCTGTCAGGGACCAGCTTGTATACATACTAAGGAGTTTGAGCATTTATCATGTCAGTTCTGGGGAGCCAGTGAAGGGTTTAAGCATCAATGGGATACGGTGGGAACTGTGTTTAGGAAGATCACTCCTATCAGCACTGTTGCAGACGAATAAGAGCGGGTTCAGTGGTGGGAATCCAGGAGGATGTAATTGAAATAATCCTGATGAAAAGCAGTGAGAGCTTGGAATGAATGAAACGAACATCAGTGAGGTGGAAAGAAGTCGGTTTCAGAGAGTAAGGAAGTGAAATCTTTACAGTTTTGTAGCTCATCAGATGTACTGGAAGGGGCAGTTGTGGAGAGGAGTGTTAGCATGTCTTGGGTTCCTAGGTTGAGCAGCTGGTCAAAGGTTGTGTTATTCACTCGAGGAGTACCGGAGCTGGGGCAGGTCTGGAATAAATTTGGGAGTTCTGTTGTTTTATAACAGCTTTATTGAAATATAATTTACATACCATACAACTCATTAAAAGTGTACGATTCAGTGATGTCTAGTGTATTCACTGACTTGTCCAGCCATCACCACTATCTAATTCCAGAACATGTTCGTCATTCCAGAAAGAAAGCCTGTACCCATTAGCAGTCACTCCCATATCTCCCCAACTTCCCCAGCCCCTGGCCACCACTAACCTACTTTCCTTCTCTACAGATTTGCCTATTCTGGACATTTTCCTTAAATGAGATCATATAATATGTAACCTTTAATGACTGGCTTCAGCTTCTTTCACTTAGCGTAATGTTTCCAAGGTTTATAATTTGGGAATTTTTAGTCATTTAGTAAGTATTTCTTGAGATTTCTTGCATATCAGGTACTGCAGCTGAATTGTAGTGAACAAAATAGACAATGTCTCCGCTTGTACAGTGCTTTCATTTTCATAGTGAGGAACAAACCATAAATAGGTAGAGGAACTTCATGTAGTTACGATAGAGTCGTGTGAAGGGCAAACGAGAAGTGGTCAAGAGGAGGCCTCAGAAGGTGACATTTGGACTGAGACCCAAATGATACAAAATACAAAGGAGCCAATCATGTCAATAGCTGAGGGATATTCCAGGAAAAAAGCAAGTTCAAAGGACTTAAGGTGAAAACTAGTTTGGCATATTTGAATCTAAAGTACCTGTGTGGTAGCCCAGGAGAAAGACCTAAAGGCCACGTATCTTTTAGAGGCCTGGAATTGAGAAGAACGATCTGGGCTACACATACAGACCTGGAAGTCATCAGCATGTCAAAAACGTGAGACTGAAGATCACAAAGCCTGAGAAGTGGGCCAAGGAGAGTCCCTTGCAGTACCAACATTTGAGGTGTGGGCAGAGGCGTCTGAGTGTGAAGGAAACGCCGGAGGAAAACCAGGGAGACAGACGACGGGCTGCGGAGGGAACAAGAGAAGGGCAGGAAAGGCTATTTGCACTGAGCAACAAGGAGCCACGTCGCAAGCACGGTTCCAGAAGAGTGGTGGGCAAAAGCCAGCTTGCAGTGAATTGAGTGGGAGGAGGTGAGGAACCAGCAGCAGGGAGTGAGCACAGCTCTTAGGAGGCGGCGGGGGGAAGGAATAACGGAACTAAAGGAAATGAGAATGGAGGGGTTTTAATTTTCAGGTGAGAACACTGTAGCACGTCTCAGTTGTGATGCTAAAGTAGCTGGGAAGGGCAGTGGCGGTGAGGCAGCGGTGTCCAGGTCTTCAGGAGGTTGGAGTGTGCAGAGTGGAGAACCGTGGTGACAAGATGGGCCTCGGACGGAAAGAGCTGTTGTATTGCTATAGGAAAAATGGAGGGAGACACGATGTTGGTGGGTTGGTAAGTGAAGTTGAGGAAACTGGCAAACATAAGCTGTATATTTTTTAATGCACAGAAGGCCCTCGGCTCGAGTGAAGAGGAAGATAGAATGGGAAACGGGGATGAAGCTTGAAATAGTTACTGTGGAAACTATAAGAGAAAACTGAGCTACGGACACTTAGAGGTTGCTTCGTGGGCCAGTGAGAGGGGGAGGCCAGGAATTCATGGCAGCACCATGGTTGTTTGATTTTATCAACATCATACTCTGCACTAGGATCTCCATCTGGGGGTAGAACCATCTCGTGTGTGTCTCCTAGTAAGTGGACTGAGTTCCTTGAGTTCATGGTCCAGGTACTAGGCATTTCCATATGCTAGGCACTGACAGTCTGGTGCTTGGTGTTGAGCGAGTGAAGTGTTACCGAGGATGGGTGGGAAAAGACATCAGAGAAGGTGAGGGACTGGAAAAACAGGTGAGGTTTAGCTTCAAGTGCATCTTGTGATAATTGGAAATTAAGGCTGTTGTATTCATTTAGGAAGAAAGGAAAATTGTTGAAGTAGTTGGCATCCAGTGTCCTGCAATAACAAGTTCGAGGGCAAAGGCACTGAATGCACGGCTGTGAATAAAATAAGTCTATTTAAATTTAAGCTATAATGTAAAATGTAAATATATATTGTGCTCCTAAAGGCAATGAAAGAATTTTGAAGTGCCTATGAGTTTCATTTAAGTGCTGATCCTAGAAGCATGAGCCCATAATCTGCATAATTGTGAGATTTCTGTTACATCATGATTTAACCCTAACCTTCAGAAGATTGAATTTAACCTTGGGCTACTTGTATCTGTACCATCCCCTCCCATATCTTAGCAGCTGCAAAATCCCTCAACTCCCAAGGGTCACTTTCCGTCTTTTCCCACGTAGACACTCTTCTTCCCTAGCTTTGTAAGTTTCTTGAACTCTTACCTGCCTCAGATAAGTGCTGTCATCAAATGGGGCATAATTTAAGTTGTAAAAATATTTGGATTTATTGGGCTTGATTTTAATTGTTTTTAATCATCTTTTCTTTTCCCCTTCAATGTTTGCAGTGGAGCTGGGCAAGAAGTAGGAAGATCATGTATTATCCTGGAGTTCAAAGGAAGAAAAATAATGGTAATTATTTTGTAGTCTGGATATTAGTACGGCTCTGTCTGCGTTGGGGGTTAGAGCTTTTCTAGTACTGTAAGTTCTCCGTTTAGCTCCCAGAAAAACGTCATAGTTGGTATATGTCTGTGCTGTGTAACATTAATGTGAATCACTAAATACACTTCGACTTAGTAATGTGACAGAACATTAAACTGAGAAGATGTATTCTAAGATTGTAAAATTGTCAACCAGCTCTCCTGAACGATTGCTTCTTCAAGATCCCTCTTCCACTCTTGGAGGGTCAAGCCAACCTCACTGCCCCCCCCACCCCTGCCACCGCCACCACTCCCCGTTGGAAGAGAGCCAAGGAACTGAGTGCCTGA